GCATGCACTCATTTCACTAACTAATGTTTAAGAGTATTCTAATAAAAAATTAGCATTAAATAATCATCATATTGTGGAGTTAAAATTAATGAATTTAGGCCAGACTGCTCCAAACACAACATGCTTTTATCTACAGGAAAACAGTTAGCATCACTCACCTGAATACATTTAACTATTCGTTTTAACTGTCCCATACCAACTTCAGTTGGACGGATCTTACGGTTTTCAACATCCAGTTCCCAAACTCTCAAGGTATTACTGGAAATGTAATAAGAAAAAGTCTTGTGAAATAAACAAAGGCTTACATCCTTGTATTTACAGTCCAACTTGCATTAAGCAGTCACCCAAGGGGAATGACACAGTGACCGCTTAATAAAGGTTCCACAGAATAGGGTTTTAAAAAAAAAAAATGAAATGCAAAAAATGCCATTTTATGCCATAATTGATCAATCAATGTACAAAAACTCACTCAAAAATACATCTACAGCATTGATTTTGAGAGATAAACATGGATGTAAGATACTTAAAAGCTTGTTCTTGATTTATTTGAGTGGTTCCATGTTAGGTGACCATTCAATAAAAGTGGGAGATAATAGAAAGAGACTGTTGGGACTTGTCAGTTAAGGGTGACCATGACTGCTTACTAGAGGTGACCGCCTAATAGAAGTGAAAACTTCAATGTTTTAGGGAAAATAAATTTGGGACTACCACAACTGACCCCTTAATACAGGATGACCACTCAATAGGGGGCCGCTTAATACAGGTTCAACTGTATTTTGTCAATTTACTGTTATACAAATTATTTACTTTCAGATCCAGTTCAATCACTTTCACCTTTTGGCCCATTGGGGTGTCTACAATCTAGAGTGTCTACAATCTAATTTCTTCTAGTGATATCACCCCTAAATCACACATTAAGGTCATGAGAATAAAAGATATGATCACCAACTTAAAGAAGCCCTTGAATGATAATCAAATTCTCCTTGTCAGCACTTTAGGAAATAAAGTAAATGGTTTGAACCCAGGAGTATCAGTAGTTCATGTAGTGTGATCATCCGGGTGAGTGTAGTTCTGAAAAGAACTGTTGTTGGTGACTGACGTTTCGACTATCTGTGCGGTAGTCATCTTCATAGTCAAGTGAGGAGTAGTTGTCAGTCGATGATGTTATGCTCCGACTGCCAGGCCTCCTACATTGGTGAGACTGGTAGAAACCTTAACATGCGACTAACTGAACACAAACGAGCAACTAGAAATGGCGATGTAAACAATCACATTTCTGAACATCACCGACAAACTAATCACAGAATTGACTGGGACTCTGCTAAATGCTTAACCTACAATACAAACTATTTTCGACGACTGACTCTGGAAAGCTGGTTCACTAACTTAGAACAGACGCCTCTCAACAGATGTCAACAATTACCAGCACCTTACAAACGACTCATTGACGACATGAACAAACCGACAAACAGACCGACAAACAACAGACGGATCGAAACCGACCAATGACTGTTAACAAACTCTACACAAGTCTTCCAGCCAATCACATCACGGCTAAACAGACCAATCACATTCAACAGACCAGACTTTATAACATCATCGACTGACAACTACTCCTCACTTGACTATGAAGATGACTACCGCACAGATAGTCGAAACGTCAGTCACCAACAACAGTTCTTTTCAGAACTACACTCACCCGGACGATCACACTACACGAACTACTTTAGGAAATGTATGGCAAATAGTATCGAGTATATGTATACTGATGTTAGGATGGTTAATAGCTTTTGGCCATAGTTAACACTATTGTCTTCTTTCAAATTCTCAGCCCTGCAGTCTTCCAACATATAACCATCAAATCATAAAAACTTTAAAGATTTCAGGAGCATCAGCAGTACTTACTCTCCACCAGTGACAAATATCTCATCACTCAAGTTAGCATAAGCTACTGCAAATGTAGTCCCTGCACTTGGAGCACCTGCCACACTTCCACAAATAGCTGAACCACTCTTGACATCCCACACAACAATTCTGTGAGCAAAAGAAGAAAAAAATTTGGAAAAGAAATATGTTTTAATGGTCAAGGCTTTATTCTGATTAGAGCATTATTTTAGCACTGTTCCAACATGACATATCACATAGAGAATGTGAAAAATAGTATAAACAGTGTTTATCGTAACCTTTTGACCCTTGGAGTGACTACCATCTGATTTCTCCCAACAGTATTTCCTCTAAATTACTGGTGAGATCACGAGAATATTATAAGGAAATGATCACCAACTAAAGAGGCTCCTGACTTTGGGACAAATTTTCTTTGTCAGCACCTTAGGAAATGTATGACAAACTGTATGGAGAATATGTATACTAATGTCTCAGATACATCATGGGAGATTATTTAAATAATTTGAATCTAAAAATCACTCCATTTAATGTATAAAAATAGATTACATAAAGTATCTTGTATTGAATTTCTCTGGTTCTGACAAGCGTTTGGAAGGAAATCACAAAAAGCTTCTACTCAGTCAATTTGAGAGCTGTCTTTTTTGTCACCTCAGTTATTTTGTTTAATGGCTGTTGTTGGTATTAATGATATAATGTTTTGGTACAAAGATTTTTCTGATCCAAACAGTATGTAATACACTTGTTTATCCTGACTTTCAACTCCTGTTCTTTGGTAGCTCAAGCTCTTCATTACTAATTTTATCAGGGGTCAAAGGCCTTTAAAAGAAAGCAGTAAACCTTTGCTAAACTGAGATCCTTCTAACTGTCTCAGATGTAGCTTGTACTCTCCTTCCTGTATAGTTTAGCTCATTTTAGTCTGAAAGCCTTGCATTTCTTTCAGGGGTTTAAGCTTAGGAGCCTCAGTCAAAAGGTACCCAGAGTAGCTAACTATTATCATAATTACTGAAAAATATCTGTAAATACTCATCATTTCTTGAAAATAATGGGATGAAGAGGGCATTAAATTTACAAAAATATGTGCAAAAGAGAGTATTACTACTCCAATACAGAAAAATTCCCATCGTTGAGTGTACTTGCAATTAGGCGATGAAAGCTATGACAAAGATAAGGGGTTATGTGCTACAATTGTTTGGTCTCAGTCTCACATTTTCAAACGAGAGTCTCCCAAATTTTATAAATGGCCTTTCCTCACACTTAGAGTGTCGTTATCACTAGGAAAAAAGTAGATGCTGTAACTGAATTTCAACCTTGGTTCAATCAAATTTTCCCTCGCGCTTTAGGTATAAGGATGTAATTAGTAATCAGTTCGAAACAAACTAGAGAAAACATTAAACCAAAGATAAAATTCAATCACATAGAGAATCTACTTTTATAGACTTACGATCCATCGTCTTGGCCACCAAGGGACACCAGATATTTGTCATTTGGAGAAAAAGCCAGCGCTTCTACTTTGACTTTATGCAGTGGATCCAGGGTATGTTTAATGGATCTCTTCTCAAAATCCCAAAGAATAACATCGGCCTGAAATCCCATGTGAGTCTTTTCACCCGATGCAAGGTATTTTCCACTTTTGGAGACTGCCAGACAAGAAACCGCCAGGCATCTTTCTTTGTGTCCTGACAACAGCTTCTGACGCATCTTTGGATCTTCTGGGGTAGTCCTACTTTTGGTTCCCCCTTTGGTTCCTGATCCTCTCCCACCAGAAGCTGGTTTTTTGTCCTCTTTAATTTCCTCGACGACGATTGTGTTGCCAAGAGGATAGATAAGATGTTCTCTGTCACTGTTAACCAGCAAACCTCCTGGAACCTCACCTACAAAAACATGCGAATGAAATTTAAATGAAATTTTAGCAGCGTCTAAATGACAGTTCAGGATGAAAGATCGCTGAAAATTACAAAGCGCTATCACAGTTGTGGTGAAGCTAAACATTATACAGTTTCGCGTACCTGCAAAACCAATGATTGCATGAAGGTCGAGAGGTTCTATATCACCCATGTCGACTTGTTATTAGGTGCACAAATACAACAAAAACAGTACAGAAACCGTACAACCAACACACTTTTATGTTCTCTTGATTTTAGTTTTAGTCTGGCGCGCGTTGCTACTGGAAACAGCGCATACAAAATAATAACTGCCGCTGTGCAACGAATACCGATACCGTTATCGTTCCCAGTTTGAACGCGGCTGTGACAAAGATATCGAAGTAGTGTACCTTACTTTTTCTTCTTCCTTTTGATGTTTCCATTGGAGATATCTTCTTGAATTTATAAGCTTCTTGAATTTATAAGCTTAGCACCTCTGGATGTTTGACCAAACAAACTGATTAAAAATCCTGTCTAACGGACAGCGGTAATTGCTAAAAAACAAATAACGAATGGCATGGACGTCGGGAAATGGATCTTCTGAGTGCCAGAAACAATACACTTGGAAGCAATCGGATATGCGATTATCGGGTTGGTTTTATAAGTTTATCTTTATTCTATGGGCCAAGTCTCCACGGGAGTCATCGCCATATTTGAAATGAGACCGAATGGGATGCGAAAGGAATTAGCCAAAGTATCTGCGAATAATTTTTGAGGGAGGAGATTTAGCATGTTATTTTTATGAAAATTCTCTAATGCAATTTTCATTGTCAGAACTTACAAAACGAAACCCTCTTTTTCCCGCTCATTTGTGTCACCTCACATTTGTAGTAGGGGATCAGTTTAATCAGAGCTGAAAAGCTGTGTTTGAAAAAGAAGACAAAAGTTGACAAGAGAAAGCTTTATAAGGTCTCTATTTTGTTAACACACCGGATGACACTTAACATCTATTAGTTAGCACACAGAAGAAAGGGAAACAGAAGAAAAATAGAGACAGGGCAATGTCTTCTGTGTGAGGCAACTTTCATCTGTAAGAGCCAGACTTCACCGATAAGAAATAAATCAGTAAAATGTAACAAGTACTAGATGATTTTAGCCCAATGTAATACAGTGGAAAATCATCAGGATTTTAAATCCATTCTTTCCTCTCGAGTTATCAAATTGGCACAAAATAACAGTAAAACAGATGACAGTTTATTTTACTGAAAGACAGATGTCATGAGATGTTCTTGCATCACAAGGCAATATTCCTTTATGGCCTAAATACCATTTAAATTAATTTTTCCCTGTACACACGGCCGATCAGTTTTCGCATTACAATAATTGTCAGGAAAAAATAGCTTCGACAATTACAGTTGTTTAATATTTCAGCGTATCAGAATTCAGGCCGAATGAGTAACTGAAAGCTTTCAATTTTCATTAGAAACACAATTGTTTTTCTAGTCACGTAGCGCTTTGCAGTGTTCTCCTAAACACGAAGAATGTTTCTAATGTTTTGCAAAATCGAACAGAAAGCAAATACACCAAAAAGTACAACCCCTTACCAGTAGAGCTTTTTTTTCCCTGTTTTTCCTGTTTTGAAATATTTTTGCGGGGTAACAAAGAGTTCATTTCAGTCGTCGTGTACTTACCAAAGAACAGTTGTAAGTTGACAAAGCCGGGAGTGGAGTCGGTTTGGGAGGGCTGCGGAAAAACTTGAAGGACAGGCCGGTAGCAGTGCATGGCGGTTTACGGGAGAAGGGCATGACGAGGATATACTTTTGCCTTCGTGCAGGAGTTCGACACTGCTGATCTTAAATGAAATTCATCCATTCCTGACTCCACTCCTTACACAATGTCTTTTGGAGTAACTTAAAGGTTAACAACAAGGATTTAAGTTATTAATAAGCATCCACATCGCTGCACGAACCTGCCTGATTTGCCAACAATACAAAATCGGGTTTAACGAAGAGTTCACGAAAAGTAATGTGAACGCAAAATTACCCAATGACAGTAGAATCAGTGGGGATGAGTCATTCTTGACATACAGAATGGCCACACAGGTTATGGGTATATAACACAACATAAGAACGACATAAACATAGCGCATTGCAGCAACGGACTTCTTGTACTTATTAATAGACAGGTAGCTTTCCTCTCTGTGTAGATAAAACTGGTTGAACTGGTTGAAAACCTGCCTTTCTTGTCGGCGAAGCATGCGTTGAATTTTGAAGTGCGTAAAAGTTGGTACCACTATAAAAAGTGAGAACGATGAAACAGAAAGAACTATTGTGATCTTTCCTGCCAGTAAGCGTGCAATTGGGAAGATTAAGCTGGTTATCCACAGAGACAACACGGTGATGTTTGCCTTTTTTATTGTGACGACTGAACGATAGCGGGCACGAAGGTGTAAAGCCAGAAATCTGTCAATGCTTATTGTAATCATCGTGAAAAACGAGACTGCTACGAAGTAATCACTTAGAAGAGGGTAGACAATCCAGGAAGTACATCGAATCCACGAGTTTCCTACTACACCAGAGAGGCAATATGCAATGTATACGGGTTGAACAAATAAACCGACAAAAAGATCGGATAAAGCCAAACTTCGAAGGAGTGCTTTAGACGGCGAGTGGAGAGCTCGGGTTTTTACAAGGGCTGTTAAAACTAGAGCGTTTCCTATGGAAGCTGTTAGTGAAAAGACCGCGTTGAAAGCTGCTGTGACAATGTAGGTGTAGTAGAGATAGGGTGGTACTTGAAGAAGAAGCGATGGATCGTAATTGCAGGGGAACAATGTTTCATTTTGGTCTGATAAATTATTGGCCATCGTAGATGAACTGAAAGTCCAGAAAGCCTTTAGTTTGAGGGAAGGTGGGCAAGTAATATGTTCTGTGACCCAAGAGAACAACACTTCACACCTTCACGTCATTTCAATGCCTTATGGGAAGATGTGCCCACGGTAAATGATTTCCGTTTTTAGTCAGTAAATCAAATTATTTAAAGATGAAACAGAGAAAAATTACCATAAACTAAACAAATAGACTTGTCGGAAGCGCTTTACTTTTCGAAATCTGACGACTGATCATTGTCAAACATAGAAAACAAACAACAATTGATGGAGATGATCATCTCGATGCGGGTTAGATTCTTTACAGCCTTGTTAGTTCCAGATAAAATTTCTGATGATAAGATCCTTCTGTTAATTTTTTGAATGATATTTGCTGGACTGTACAATTTGTTTTTGAAAGTTGTCCTCCATAACAGCCTTAAAAAAGCCAGATGTAGGAAGTAGTTTCTCAGAAAGATTTGATAAATGTGTAATCGAGGTCTCAGGATTTCCTAGTTCAGCAGCATAGCTTTTATGCCTCTTTATATTTAAGCAGTAATGATTCAAAATTAAAGCAGAATAGTAATTTAATGGTTCATTTTAAAATTAAAATGCTTTTAAGTCAAAATGGATTTTATTCGAATGTCAACACGACGAGTGCGTCATATTGAGGATGACTGATTCCTATCTAAAAGTTTACATCACTTAAAAAAGCTTTTAGACCTTTCCCTTCTTTACGCGGGCTGATTGGGTAACTTAGAGGTAATCGACCAAGTTTTTTTTCTCGTCCGTGCAGCTGAAGAACAAAAAAATTGAACTCGTTTCGTCAGGTTTACTTTCGAAGACATTTGTTCAATTAACGATGCGACTGTTTCAAACAATACAAACTAAAACCGCAACGTTTCGTAACATCATTTCAATTATGAGAAAAAAAATTGAATGACTGAACAACCGGGCAGCATACTGAAACAAGAAGTTTGATTAAAGGAATTCCTTCATGTCTCTACGTTTTGTAGATTATTATAGAAAACTGAACATTGTAAATTATTTAGCGCCGAACCTATCGCGAAGCGCGCGAACAGAGACATACTGATGTAGAAATTAACCAATCAGAACGGTAGATTAAACTGTATATATCATAGATCCAACAAAGTTCACCCAATCTGCAAGGAAGCTAGCGAGGCGGTTGAAAGAAATCGCTTTCTGCGAATGATTTTCATCACTTTAATTTCTGGCCTATATAAGCTACAGATATTGTTCGAACGAAAGTAATTTTTGCTCTGCCACTTAAGCTTATCAAGCTTGTGTAGATTATGCAGATTCAATTATTCTCCCTATTGGTAAAAGTTGACGTTTATACAAATCCTTCTTGGCACCCAGTTGTCATATCTACCTCCTCTTCCTCGGTACATATAGTTGTCATTTATTAATTACAATTTTGAAACCTGTGGGTACACTTTGTGACAACTAAAGTTAAATAAGGATCATAAAAGCAATTTTGTCCCATTTTTTCATTTTATGCGTCAAATCTGTTGTCTAATGGCAGGGAAAAAAATTATTCAAATTTATTAAATATTAACAGGGCTTTTGCGAGCGTTGTTTGGTGGGTTACCGAACGGTACAAGAACTGTAAGTCTGGCAATCAGATTCCGAAAATTTTATTGGCTATGCGATTGTACACCTAATGAATTAAAGTTGACGTTACTTCTAGAGGTAAAAAGACGTCGCAACTGTTATTTCAGGATTTTTTTTTGGGACCTGCAACTTTTTTCAAGGAATGTAAATGGTCCATTCACATTTTGCGGCAAAAAATGATATAAAACTCGTCGCCACGCAATAAAAGATTCGAGAATCACTGACCTTCTACACAAAATATATATGTTATTCACCAGACGGGAGGTTCGTATTGGGAAAAATTGTGCCCGAGGTCTTGGATACCGCCCGAGGCCGTAGGCCGAGGGCGCTACACAAGTCAGAGGGCACAGTTTTTCTCAATACGGACCGACCTTGGCTGGTGAATAAAATTTTTATCTTTTTCTAAAACCTAACAAATGGTTGCGAAAAGAACCTGAATGATAAAGGGCTGCAATTACGGCAAGATTCTCCAGAAACAGAACAATTTATGAGCGAGTAGATGGTAGAGAAAACAAGGGCAATGCAAATGAAAGAGAGAGGTTTCATCAAAACATATTATTTTGTCTCCACTACACAATAAGTAACACAGTAGTGTACACCAAATAAGTTTATTTAGGCAAGCCTGCCGAGAACCAACCCGAGGCATATATAGCCCAGGGAATGCATACATACATATATTTGCAACTGATATACCATATACAATCCTGATATACAGTCAATTCCTTACACATTAAAAAAAAAGGTATACATTACTAACATGCAAACTTCACTAAGTCTGGATTAACAGAGATGGGCAACCGCTTACAAGGACATAACTACGGTTATATAGAGGCCAGAAAAAACCTGCCAGAAAAAACCCCTTTGGGGAAAAAACATGACAGGAAATCTGGGTAGGAACCATGGCCCAAACTCAGAGCAGTTGGCAGCCCATCCTACGAGGCTTCACAGCTAAAGAAAATATGTTTTCAAACTAAAATAAATTTGTCATCAGCCAGAGGTGAACGGTTGGTTCTGAGGCCTAGATGGACATCACGTGCTATACTTTCCTTTATATACCACTGCATCATTACCCATGATGCTCGGGCCTAAGGCCCAGGCCTTGTCGTATCTCGTGCCGACAAAATATTTATTTCTGCCTTATTCGCAGACTCATTCGTCAGAAATACCATTATTTGCGCAATGATATTAAAAGGTGATTTAAAAGGCTTCCAAGAAAACTTTGAAACATTTTTTTAAAAGGATCGGATACCGCCCGCTGTGAGCGGGCCGGATGGGGAGAATACTGCCCGCTCTTGGAACCAATCAGATTGCAGGATTTGTAGAATACCGCCCGCTCACGAACTGAGAAAAAAAAATAAAAGTTGTTATTTTCAGTTCGAAGAACTAGTAAGAATACAATCAAGGGCGGTCAATTGTCACCCCGACAGGGAAAAAAGAACAATTATCGAACCAACTGGTGACTATCTGAAAAATATCAGTATGCGCTCGACAAGGGCGTTTCAGGGCAAGTTTAATCTACAATGGTTTTTTTTCTGTCTAATCCAGTAATTTACAAAGATTCAAGAACAAATGTAAACAAGTGTATGACTATCTGCAGCACGTAGGAAAACTTTATCGTGCAACATTGTTGGACGGTGTCATGAAGGAGCCGGCCAAACTATCGTCAACGCCATACCGTACGCGCTCAATATCCTGCTATAACAAAATGTTAACAAAAATTGTACCATTCAGCATCATCCGCCGCCCGGTAACAACTCGCTACTGGGTTACCAAACGCGTACAGCACTCTAAGCGTCACTTTGTAGAATGCTACGATAGAGATACTATTGCCCGCTTGGTCGGTGTAAGATGGGAGGGACAGGGAGGTCGAGAAATGCAAGGTCAAAGAGGGGAAAACGAGAGAAGTTTGCAGGATCAACCCCCCCCCCCCCCCAACTCCCTTCCTCGTTAGCCCGTTGCGATGACTAACCCTTGCTGTGTGAAAATTTATGTTCACTCTACGGTTTCTCTGTCAAACAGGGTCTTGACTTTTAACATCTCATCTAAATCTGAGTGCAATAGCACGGTTCACTTGAAACGCTTTCAACCTCCAACATAGATTAACTTTCTCATTGAGATTAAATACTCCATGTGTATGTCTGTAGGGTCATAAAAAAATGTCAGTGAAGGACCTTGCAAAACGGGTGATTTATACTGACTCCTTTTTTAGGGCTTGCAAAAACCTGTGGGGCTATTTTTATTGCTCCTCTAGAAGTGTGTCTGATGCTACATTGAAGGAATACAATTTTTAAAATCAATTCTTACTACAACGGGTGCCAGCCTGTAACCAAACAGTATAAACCCGTTGAAAGCCTACCTGCCCACCCCTGACAATCAAGCTAGTATGCTTCCTGATATTTAAATAAGAGCAAAAAACAACTGCTGTATAATTAACATGGAGTTTTAATTTCTGTTATTCACATGTTTGCACAAGTTAGGCTGCATGCTGTTTCTTCCAGGCAGCAAGGGGACCGTGATCTGCCATGTACTTTGCAATTACTCCATCTGGTATAAGCTTGCCAGAAGCACGCCACTCCTCATAAACTTCACGATCAAACTTGGTGAATCCCCACTTCTTAGACACATATATCTATATAGGAAAAAAATTGTCTATGTTTAGAGTTTATTTAACTTTGATAACAATATTAGAGCTGTTCAGAGAGCCACCTTGATCAAGTGCTCAATTTCTGTCAACTTTCAACACCCAGACATTGCTTTTAGATTGCTCTAGGACAATTTTAGAAGATGGCACAGTTTTGATAACGTTTTTGCTTCATTTAAGATTTTATCAAATGTTAACACTTGAGTGAAAAGTTATTATTTACAAGCCTGATCTCAACCAAGTAACAAAAAGAGATGACCTTCAACTGTCATAGCACTTTTAAACTGATATCAACAGATGACTGTAAATATGTGAAAATCCATGACCTGCACCAGTATTGCAGAGGTCATGGGTTCAATCCCCTAGTAGCCTGATTTTTTTTAAAGGCCATATTTTCACTACTACTTAAGTTGTGTTCATAACTGCAAGGATTGCTTTCATATTCATTTGATATCAACAGTTTTTTCAACTCAACATAGAAGAGCCATTTGAGTTAAGCCATCCCTACATGATGTTGGTTTTTCTGCATCTTCAAGGCTCTTAGGCTTCAAGATTTATTTTTTTTCAACACTGCAAAGTGCATTTTAACTGAACATAATTCATGGTACCATTAAATACTTGTATTGGAAATGTGGCTGGTAATTGCTTGAATTCAGAGCTTGTCAAAGGGGAATTGTAATCTTCTCATAACCTGTCATTTCCTAGCCAAGAGGGCCTGCTAAATGTGGAAATGTCTAAAAATTATTTTACCTTTTGCCTTCCTGGAAACTTGAACTTGGCTCTTCTTAAGGCTTCAATGGCAGCTGCCTTGTTACCATCCTTTGTTCTCAAAGACATGATGACTTGGCCTATGTTGACGCGTGCCACAGTGCCTTGAGGCTTCCCAAAGGCACCACGCATACCTGTCTGGAGCCTAGAAAAAGAACCACACCAAGACTTGTAACTGAAGCTATGTTTGTTACAACTACTTAAAACAAATGATTACAGCTGGTTGCTAATGAAAAAAAAAAAAAATTAAGTGTTGATGTTTTGAATTAGAAGGCCACTATCTTAATTATTCCCAAGAAAAAAAATTACTGCATTTCTCTCCTCCTCAAGTTTCTAACATTACAAATCAGTTAGGTCAGAAATTAAGACTAGATCAATATACAATGACCTCCACTAAAATTTTTGTTTGCTTAAGCTGGTTGGAAAAGGAACCATCGATAAATGAGATTTATCACAGTCACTTGCTGAGCAACTTGAAAACTTGCACATGAAGACATTTTTCGCTTTTAATTGTTCAAGGCATAAAAAAATTATTTGACTTGAAAGCCCCATCAAAGTACTGATATTTCCTAAGTTTTAACCAACTGTCATAATGGTCTCTGAAAGAGTTATAAGGTCTGTTATAATGCAACTTGAGAAACATGCCTGAGAATGAATGAAAAGTCAAACAGGGGAACTTAGGATACTTAAGAAACCTGCATCCAAATTCCTACACCCAAAACCAAACAACAGCACAACCTGCATTTCCATGCCAAGGGCTTTAATTTAAAATTTGGCTTGGTAGGTACTGCCACTATTTAAGTTAGTTTTGTTCAGGGGCCAGCATGAAATCAAGAAAAATATATCATTTCATTTTCTTGCTGCCAACAGACACACATCTTAAAAGTAATCAGACTTACCTATCAGCTCCAGCACACGACAACATCTTATTGATCCTGATAACATGGAATGGATGCAGCCTCATGCGCAAATGAAAAGAATCCTTTCCACAGTTCTTCACCATGTATTTGTTACAGCAGATACGTGCTGCTTCCAGGGCTTCACTAGACAGTTGTTCATACTCATCTGACACCATGTGGATACACAATGGAAGCTCATCTACACGGGCTTTTTTGCGACCCAAGTCATAAATTCTAATCTTGGCATCTACATGAAAAATGATTTACAAAAAAGTTATGAGCAGTCACTTCCCTATAATGAAAGAATGGTTTTTCACAATTGTGAAGACAAAGACATGAATGAAAAATATATTCAACTAAGTTTTATCTAAATAATTTGGTTTTATCAACTGAATTGAAAATGTAAACTGGCCACCATAAAGCTAATGAACAGCTCATGCTTGAAACATCATCTCAAGAAATTATCTACAGTGACCAATTTACAATATCAACTCAGTTTATAAAACCATTTTATTTTGTAATACCCTTCCCCACCCCCACGGACCCAGCACCAAAGTTTCTTAAGAAACTTACCCCCTTTATTCAAGTTTTACTTGGGCTATGTTGTTGGAATATGAATGGATCTTCAGAGTTCTTTGCAAGTGTTTTGTTTGAGGTAAAAAAATGTTTTCCCAATTAGTTGACGGAATTCAAAGCACTGCTCACTGGGATGCCCATAGACTAGGGCGTTTTAAAGTTGAATTATATTCAGCAAAACATGGAAGAGACTTCTTACCTGGGACACCACGGCAAAAGCGTGACTTAGGATATGGTTTGTTCTTGCAGTAGCGGTAACTAAAAAAGGGAAAATTATCATTAAGAAATGGGAAGCCCATAAAACAGGAATATAACTTGGCTCTAGCAGTAGTAATGTGAATCAGCTAGTGTAATAAACACATTTTGAGTTGTAATATAGTAGCATACATAAAATTTTCTTTTTTTAACCGCTTGTTAGAATAATTATGATGACAAAACTTGAGAAGATAACGTCTGTTGATAAGAAACTCACAGCTCACAGGTCTAAAAAGCTAAGATACTTCAGAGTTCTGTATTACCACTTAAATTTCACGTTTTCTCATAAGTCTACTCAAACCAAAGCAACAGTCTTCCTATTAACAGTAGCTCGATCATTCACATAAGCAAAGGTATGTCAAGTCATGGAGATCACAAGTAGGCCTCAATATTACACACAAAAACTTAAAATGCAAACGCAAACTTACCAACGGGCCGGCCTCCGTCCCATTTTGACTGCTCTGGTAGGTGTATAAGAGAAAATGATGCAAGGTTATTTTACTACTTATAAGGTTACAACCATGATTTTGCAAAGTCACAATGAATTCGGATTTTAAAGTCCAAATAGGACATAAGCCATTGAATAGCACCGCGAATAAAAATGAGTTCGGTCACTTCAGAAATAAATTTGAAGTATCACTGTTGAGAACAACAACAACGAAGTAAAATATTACAGATTTCAGTTTCGTTGTAGACGAACGACATGAGCAAGCAAAACAACGGATTACTGGCTTTTAATGTGACACTTTTTTAAAATGAGAAGATAAGGGGAGGGAATGATAGTTAAACTTGGTTTACGATCAATTTTGATTAAACGAAAGCTAACGATGCTCTTTGATGCCACAAGATATTTTCAACAAACTTTCAGCGAAATGAATCTCACTCACCAAAACGATGGAAAAGGATGAAATAAAGTGCGATGTCCCGTATGTTGAGAAGCGTGATCCCGCTGATACAAGACTGCGTATGTGGGCTCATTTTTTGCTACTCCTTTCCAGGTTTTCGAGTAACCTCATCCTCAAATGCAAAGATGAGGTATCGTATTTATTCGATTAAACGCCGAGTTACCATACAACTGTTTACAAGAAACGAACTGGATTTTAATTAAACGCCGCCATCGAAATAACGCCGCACTAGAATCACAAAAAATATAATAAACTCCACGGCGTTTAATCGAATAAATACGGTAACTTTCAAAGGAACTGTGATGCTGTATCGATCGGAGCAGTAATCAGTTCATTTGGTTTTATCACCTGAGTCGATAATGTAAATTGGCCATCGTAAGGAGTTTCTAGAGCTGACGTTTCAGGCGTTAGGCCTTCGTCAGAGCGAATAAGAACCATTCACTCTGACGAAAAGCTGACGCTCGAAACATTAATTTTAGACCAATTCACATTGTAACCTCATCCTCCAAGAAATATTTCGTCAAAACCACTAACTAAACCACGGGAAAGATTGGGGAGAATTATGAAAAGTCTACCAACAAAAGTGAGGGCACAGTGATGCAGTGAGGAGTTATTGCCATGAAACAATAACCTGTGAAAGAGATGTAGTGTTTGCAAGGTTCTAAAGACTGTTCTTCAACATTTACAGCAAGAAGATTATTCAAGCCGGGACTTGTACAAGAAATACTTCATCTTTAATTTATATATATATATATATATATATATATTTATGTATAATTCTATCATTTAGTAGCCTTCCTTAGTAACAACGAGAATTTACATCGGCGGTGTTATTTTTGATTTATGGTAAAGTCGAACCTGTATTAAGCGTGAAACTCTTTACGGTGGCCAATTTACGCTATCAGCTGAGTTGATGTTAAAAAATACCCTGTATTAAGCGGTACAGGTTTCACAGACCAGGAGTATTAAAAAAACCGATAAAAAAACATCATGTTTAGCCATAATTGACTGCTTAATTTTCAAAACCTCGCCAAAAGTTTTATTTGAGAGACGCCGCTATTTTGAAAACTCTGCAACCCGACTACACACGCGTTTGGCCACAGAGCTCAATCCAAATGATGAAACCCGCAGGTCAGATTTATTGTGACACGTTTCAGCGGTAGATAGGCAATTTTTAGTGAATTCGTTGGAAAATGGGGACAGGACACAATTTTCACTCCAACGGAAGGGACCGAAAGAAGCAACATGACTTTGAGACCGAAGTTATGATAATAGTCACTTCTTAATTGGCACCAAAGAGAAGGCCTCAGTTCTAAAGGCCGACAGCATCCAAGATGGCGGAGGAAGGTGATAACTGTTCGTTCAGTTGTGATGGATTATTTTTTGAAGTCTTTACTTCATTCGCTACCGTAACCCTTATTTCACTAGTTTAGAATCAGTCTTTTCCTCGAGGCTTTGTAAGCTGTAGTCTCGTTTTCGTCTCAGATTGTTCATAAAAAAACCGAAAACGAAATCCGAGCTTGTTAGTGAAGGGAATGAATTCACCCTTTGGTATGCGTTTGAATTTTTATGCTGTTGGTGTTAAAAACTTGATGAACTAATCAGAAATTTCCTTGAACCTGGATAGCCATTGATTTTGGCATAAAGCGTGTTTCACTTCAAAGTGCAAGAATATGATTTACGGTTTCTGTGATTTTGTTGTCACGATCGTTGTTTGTGCTGATTGTATTAAATGAGCTGTTAATAAAACATGGAAATCTTTTTGTCATTCTTGTGAAGGAGAAATAAAAGAAATATTGTTGGAGGTACAGCAACTTTTAGAGAGGTTGCAAGACTGAAGTGACCCACCAAAGAGATAAAATTGGGCAGAAAGGCAAACACTCTTGACTGAAAGCTGGGAAGAGCCACGGTTAAAGATTTTTAAAAAATTACTGGAAGCCACTTTTGCTGTTCCTGAAAATGTCATGTGTAGAAGACGCTTAGATAAAGCTGCAGTTGTCAGATGTGTCCCACTACGGTATCCCCATGCACGCAGATAAAAGAACTTGAGCAGAAATCCTTTTCTCTTGAGCTAAGAGCGAAAGTAAGACAACTTATAATTGCAAAGACATTCCATGTGAACATAGCCCGTACCTATGCTACCCCACAAAAAATAATCTGAACGGTACCAGTTGAAGCACGTGGATTGCGTTCGAAGCATACGGCTCTCACCAAACAGTTTTGTGATACTCCCTGAATATCTTGATTAAAGGTAACCTCTTTGGCTCACAAAGCTTTGTTGCACCAGTCCAATATTACAACTACTTCTCCCCTCCACCGTGTCCTTTATATTCTTTGATTCACTGACTCGAAAAGAGACAAGACAAATGTTAAATTAGCCCACTGATCTTGAATAATTAACTCATGCCACCGAGCCGGCTGCTCCTGGAATATAGATCTTTACGTGCGCATGCCGTGAAGTTATGATATTCATTACTTTGGTGCCAGTTAGGAAGTGATGATTATCATAACTTTGGTCTGGAGATCATGTTGGAAGAAAGCTAGTGATTAAAATCTGTAGAAGTTATAGGTAGTTAATCGAGAGAGCCTGGGAACGATGAAGAAGCGCGCGCTAAACACTTGTCTACTGTGACGTATATATAATTTTATTACTCATTTGAGTCGAGTTATCTAACTTGGGTTTACATCCCACATGTGTATGGTATAAAAAAGCGAACTCCCTCATAGAAAACCAAAGAGGTGAAGACTGAAAATTGAAGGTATGTCCGGATTCTAAATTCTAAGTTAACAAAGAAGGAAAAATTTTTACTCTGACAGTATGTAATAGTAAGGACCTTCGTTGAATACCTTTTGTAAATATTCAGTTATCAAGCTGCAAGTCACATACAAAAAAAAGCGAGGTACAGGTTATCTTGGAGGACAAAGAAGGGAAAATACTAGAACGTACGGGAGAGATGGAAGAGAAAATTTTGTCTCAAAATGTATTACAGCCTTTGATTTCGGAAGCAACGATCATTCAAGTTCAGTTGAACACTCAGCTCAGCTGAAGAAAAATAATTATCATTCCCCTTGAAACACTTAACTGTAAATCATTCAACGATCTATAGGCTTGGTTATCGTCATCAGACTATGATCAGAGTCAAGTGGAATACTTAAAAGGAGAGGGACTACATGTTTACCATCATACATTCCAGCGAATCCACTTCACAAACAATCTGCATATGGAATTGTGATAAACATCAGACATTAAAAAGGGTCATAGGGGAATGTTTTCATTTTACGGTTACTCGTGAATCCGAATTTTCAAACAGAGAAATCTGTATCAAGCGGACGCGCTCTGAAGGTGGCAAGAGACTCCAAAACGCCTACTGAATATATTGGCAAAGGACCCAAAAACCAACTTTCCTCTTCACAGTTAAACTAATTTCACCCATGAATTGACCAAAGAGTTGAACTTTAAAATAATGGGTATGGCATAACAATCGCTATTATCATGCTAATGTTATGGGGAAATCTCGTTAAACAGGTTCCTTAATAAATTTTCCCATGACTTCAGAGTTTTCTTTTTTGAGATAAGGCTTCTTTGAAGTTTAATCAACTGAGAACTTAACGGCATCATAGTTATGAAATGGCTATATTTAATTTGTTAAAATTCTGAAGATTTGGGAAAATCTATTGCGAAATTTCCCAGACCAAGGTTGTTTATTAAGAAAGGCCATAGGTCGAGTCGTCAAATCACACACTTAAGGCCAATTCTCTTTAGATCAATTGTTCCCCAGGAATTAAAACTCGACCATTGCAGGGCAGTTTTTTAAAATCTTCACTCAACGGAAACCATGTTGTTAGCTGACAGTAAGTGACAGTCGTGATTTCATAGTACAGCACCATAAACTGCTTATCAAGCATCAAGATTTATTTACATATGACAATTTACAATGGTGCATTGACAAATAAATGCTTTATGTGCATTTCTAACTTAGAGGGAACAATCTAGTCTGCATGGGCCAGGCCAGTTCTGTTGAAGAAAAAAATTAAACCAGATGTTATGTAAAAAGTAATGTGATTTAGAGTAGTTTTACCAACAGCGGAGTCGGAGCTGTAGAGGAAGTCGTAAGGGCGCTTCCGACCAAGTGAAAACATAAAATCAGAACAGTTTAAAAGCGGGGCCATAAGCTAGACGGCATAGGAGTCAGAAGAATCAGAGCGGTCCTATCTTCTTCCTATGACTCCGATCTAGTGAAACTAAATTTTCAGATTTGCAAGCAGAAGCAGTAAAACCCAACCTGTCAAAGAACAATCGAGAGTAAGTTCTACAGAAACAGTGGTCGTACGTCGGTGAGGCTAAGGCTATTACAAGTTAAATTGGTTTCATCAAATGAGTCGATAATGTAAATTAGCCACCGTACAGAGTTTTTAAAGCTAACGTTTCAAGCGTGAGCCCTTCGTCAACCAGTTGACGAGCTCTCACGCCATTCGATGGATACGACTTTTAGGGCCTGTTTACATGGAGGTGGGGGACCCCAGGTAGGTGAGGTAACCCACCTAGCCGTGGTCGAAAAACGCGTTTACATGCAATCTTACAACCCCGGGGCACTGGGGTGAGGTTTCTTGAGGTGGTTGTTG